TGTCGATATAGTTATTGTCCGCTTGCTCGTTAGTAGTATTCAATAGGCTTTACTGCCACCTCCTAGGCTGCTCATTATTGACACGGTACCAAAATAGTGGCAAATACCAAAATAGTGGCTTAACACACGTTGAGGATGGGCCGAGTGTGATTTTGTTTGCTTGGGTGCCGCCAGCCAATTTGTCGATCCATTAATTACCGCCTCGGCATAACTACTATTTCTTCGTCTTTGTCGACTGCTGTGTTGTGTTACATAATCATCAATCGTAGTGTTATTGTCACTCATGCTTACATAATCATTATGATCACCATAATTGACTGCAATCACAGTATTTCCGTTATGAGCTTCAATCACAGGTGCTATCAACTTAATAATAAAACCATCCTGTTTACTATCCATTTTATCTGATCCGGTACTAACAGGGGCAGTTTCCGCAGTATTACATATGCCCAGCTTTTCCTTGATGGTACGAATATCATTAAATATATCTTTATGATATTTAGAAATTGCATCCACATTATTTTTCCGAATTGTAATGCCAAGTTTTGTGTGAACATTGTCTTTAAATAGAAAGGAAAGATTAACATAGTCAAGGTTGATAGGCGGTAGCTTACTCAGGTTTTTAGCAACAAAAAAAGGGCTGCCGGACAAAACCACCTACATTTAAATGTACCATGAACGGGAAAGTATCGTCTTGAACAGATGCAAGTTAACTCCCACTCCAGGCATCATATCATTTTCTAAGCTAAATCGCAACAACTTGTTCTGGGGAAAGCTATGTCATAGGTCAGACTTTGGACAGAGCATGTACATAGGAACGGTGGCCGAACTGTTGGAATAGTTGACATATACTACAAAGAACGTCAGAAGAAGTCCAAATATACAATTTAGTGTATAACAAATGGGCGATGAAAGATGATTACTGTACAGTCCATATGGCTTCTGAAAATATAAATAGAAGTGAGGTCGTTGGTTAACCTCCATTCATCCATTTGAACTTACAAAACGGATGTAGTTCTATCATTCGCATACTGCCCAATTTTGTTTTGAAATGGATGCTAAGTTTATTGAAGAACTTAAATAGAGGCGCAATAAGGAGCAAGGTCTTCTCATATCATCATAGATGCAAAATTGAAACCCATGTTTACATCTCTCATGTGTGGATATTCCCAGTCGGGGAAGACGCTTTTGGTCAAACAAACATCAGAACAATGTGACAGCGTCATAATCTCTGCGCTGGACATCGTATATTGATGCTACGACACGTTTCACTCGGCTTATATGGAAATATTGAGTATATTTGGCTAGACTCATACGGTAGACCGTCTTTTACGTGGAACGTTTGTACGTGGATCTACAATTATTGCATAATTCAAGCACCATTTTCTACAGTGTATGGTCAATATTTCCTATATTACTTGTCTTGCAGATGTCGTGGGAAAACCATGCCCTCTGTAGTTCTTTCACGCATGATAGACATTTAAACAACGTTTATGTAAACAGATATACCAGACTCAATCTACCTCTTTATGAAAGATATTTTCCCACACAGTGAATAAAATACAATGATGTACATCAAGGTCACATTGATGATTACTATGTAAAAGACCTAGTAATCATCAATGGTGCAAGCTAAATTACATACTAGATTTGTTTTTCAATGACAATTATGAAATGCAAAACAAAATATCAATTCAAAGTAGGCATGTTCTTAGTGTACACTAAAATGCAAGAGAACTTAATACAAGCTAAACTTAGTGGAATGAATTGAACGTGGGTAATTGGTATATCATCGCAGCTACTATGAGCTAACAATTATTTTTAAGTACTATTCACTGTTATTAATGCTGCACCATTGCTTTAACGTGTTTCACCATCTATAGTACAGCCAGATCTGAAGGTATTTTGCCCAATGTCTTGCTACACTGTGTAGCGTAGAACGACGTGGACAGGTTTTACGTTCTTTATACGTAACAAGCTTTGTTAGTAAAAATCATCTTTTGGAGGTGCACTGTAGCCAAGCGGAGGTCGCGCCGTGGAGTGACGCTCGGCTATTTGGTCGTGTATGCATGCGTCGGTTCGAGTAACGTGTGCTCTGTCGTTCAACATAGTATCTACCGAGCCGTGTAATTGGTTTTACTTATTGGCAGCTACTATGAATTTACAATTATATGTGTAATATATCTTACACAAACACATTCGATTTTACCAGATACAAGATGGTAGTCGAACGTCTTAACAAATTTATGATACTTTAAGTTATTAAAGAAAAGAGCATGAAATGTGTTTGTAAAATTTCAGATGATTAAATATATATATTTAGAAGGAAGCCCCGGAACACGACAGGAAGTCACGAACACTCTATACTACGTTTCTAATCATCAGTTTCAATAAACGGTTAGCAAAAAATTATTAACTGAAATCTGTTAGAAAAAAGTGATTGTATTGCAGTAGTAAATCAGAATTAATAAATTGTTAACAATTGGTAATGTTGAATACTGAAGTGTAAGACATTTATCAAGACAAAGACAACACATGCAAAAATGACCACTACATAACTAAATTCTTTACACGTTCAAAATTGCTTCAATTGCCTAATTTCCGTCTGTTTGTATTGTTAAGTCGGATTTGATTCTTCAATGCAAACATTACTTTTAATGAATGTAAGGAATTTTTCATGGATCTACAAATACAAACACTGGTCATTTAATAAAATGTGATGCCTGCGTGAATTGTTGAAAACATTGAGAACAATACAAGTGTGTAAAAAGTGATGGCGAAGTTTAGCAACTTAAACCAAGCTAACTAATATGTCACCATTCGGTAGAATCGTCATCGAAATACTTAAAGTTGAGAGAGGTGTAGCCGAAATAATGGACTTAGTTGTTTTGGTATTCTGATTGTGAGCTTCGATTACTATAACATCTACTACAAAATGACCTATTGTTGTAACCATATCTAATTGCGTGACACTAGTTTTAGTTTGTATGTAAATTTCTTGATGTTACTGAACAACCAGATATAATATTGCAGACGTATTTCAAATGTTTGTATATACCAGAACTCGTACTTTAATGTTATGTAACCGTTCCTGTAAGCGAATAACACAACAGAGAATCATGTTTCCTACACTTCTATTAAAATTACACATGTTCTACAGCTTTCTTTCACCCTTAATGCAGTTCCCGTTTTCAAAATATCTCAATCTTACCGGAGAATGATTCACATAATGATGCAAGTCTTAATGAATTTTCTACTCATAGGCATTGCAAATTCACATCGTAAGGTTACGTCTTTGAAGATTGTTTATGGCAAAGTAGCAAATGTTCACCCATATTCACCCTTCCCCAAAATATCACACACTTCTCGCTGAATACTTCTTCTAAGAAGGTGTTGAGACCTTTCAAACTGAATATCAACCGCCTCATATCTAATAAACGAAAGTTGAAATAGCTAACTTTAAACTATTGCATTTAAAAGGATGTAACAATATTAAAAAACATATTTTTGAAAATCGGCAATTCTCTCATTCTAATAGGCCAAGCTGATTGATGGTGAGCCGGTCTTGTGAAAAAAAATCATATATACCTACCCCTTTGTGAAAATTACGCCGCCATCTCACTTTAATAGCGTCTGCGCGCTTAAACTTTACAAACAATTTGGACATTCAACATTTTTAAAGTCAAAGTACAGACATATTCGGCAATTCGATTGCTAAGACAATCAAATTTCAGTCAGCTGACCAGAATGCGTCCGGGCTAATTACTAGTAACACAATACAAATACGGTTTGAATACGTAATCAGATAGCAACCTGGTCTACAGCAGTGTTGGTAGATATGACATATGAGTACATGACATGCAACACATTCTTGTCAATAAACACGTTGAAAATATGTACTTGTACAGTACACATCCTATTGCACCCCGCAGTGCTTACCAGTTATAACACAGACACTCGAATCGCCACACGATTTTGACTAGTGAAATCCCAAGTTCGATGACAAAACAATTAATAAATTAATGCTGCACCTCAGTGAATAATTGTCAAATAAGGAAGACAAATCGTTGTAAAATTGTTTGTTCATTTGCCACATTTTACGCAATAATGCACAAACGGGTTGTACAAACACACACTCACATGCATACACGTCTTACCATCGTTGTAACGACAATAATAATAATTTATTCAGTACTT